GTGAAGGGTCTCTTTAAGGATTACAAATGGTAAAAGAAAGTAAGGGAAGAAGGATGGAGCACTGATCTGTAAAAGAAAGCAACCACTAGAAGTCCCACCTACTACTTGACACAAAAAGACAGGACATTTACTTTATGTGTCCATGCCTTATCACACAAAAAGAAAGGTAAGTATTACTAAATGAAGAGTTTTCTTGGCTACTCTGGTGTATTATCTCTGGCTCTTCATAGGATTACATTTACTGTCTGTTTAGTATTCTTTTACTGTTTTCTGCCAGTATTCACTCATGTGAATATGTTAACACTGGTATGAAATCACACAGCATTAATAAAAATGCCATTAATGCTGAGACAGATAGATGTTTTGATTTTAATATAGTTACAGAAAGTTATAGTTATAGAAAGCAACGCAGCTTGTGTAGTGGCTAAATTCCAAATATATTATTTAAACTAAATAGTAGGCTATTATTTCAAGAACTTCTAATTTCTCATATTTCTCAAATATATTGCTAGATGGCATGACTGAAAATGGTGTACTCATATGACTATAAGCATTTAATATGCATACTATAAATCTAATATATATCTATAATAATGCGAATCTAATATATAGAGAGAAGTTTAGCAAAATAATTAGCATATATTTTGAATGGTAAATTCCTATTATGGGTTGCAGCAGTAAGTCAAACTACGGTAAAGGTATATGACACTTTTGGGGCACGTGGGTGGATCAGTCAATTAAGCATCTGACTCTTGATTTCGGCTCAGATCATGTTCTCAGGGTTGTGATAGCAAGCCCCACACTTAAGATCCTCTTTTTCCCTCTCCTTCTGCCACTCCCCACCCTCAAAAAGAAAAAAAAAAAAAAAAAGGTATAGAACACTGTAAAAAAATGTCAAATTTCCAGTTTACTTGATCTTTGCCCATGGGTCTTATTTGTACACATTCTCAAAGGGGCTCAGGATTTTATTTATTGTAATTACAAAAGCAGTAAACTGGGGTACCTGTGCAGCTCAGGCCATGATCCCAGGGTCCTGGAATTGAGTCCTGCATTGGGCTCCCTGTTCAGTGGGGAGTCCACTTCTCCCTCTCCCTTTGCCCCTCCCCCTGCCTGTGTAATTTCTCTCTCAAATAAACTCTTTTTTAAAAAAGCAGTAAAGCAAGATCTGCACCACAAAAAAACTATTTGTCTTTCCTTTATAATAGAAGACAGCTGTCAAAAATTAAAAACAAATCTATAGTCATCAAAACACTGCAAATCAAAACCACATAATACCACTTCTTACTCATGGAATGACTATAATAAAAAAGATGATAGCAATGATGTTGAGGATGTAGAGAAACCAGAACCCTCATACACTATGGTGGGAACATAAAAAGGTGCAGTGACCTAGGAAACCAGTCTAGAAGTTCCTCAAAAGTTTAAATATAGAGTTACTGTGTGACTCAGTAATTCCATGTTTAGGTATATAACCCAAGAGAAATGAAAACAAATGTCAACACAAAAACTTGGGACACATGTTCATAGTAATTTTATTTGCAACAGCCAAAAAATGTTCAACTGACGAATGGGTAAATAAAATGTGGTATATTCATAGAATGGAGTATTATTCAGCAGCAAGAAAGAATGAAGGGCACCTGGGTGGGTCCTTTGGCTCCTCGCACTCAGGTCACGATCCCAGCATCCTGGGAGTAAGTCCCGCATCAGGCTCCCTGCTCCCCAGAAAGCCCGCTTCTCCCTCCCCCGCTCCCCCTGCTTGTATGCTTGTATTCCCTCTTCCACTGTCTCTCTCTCTCTGTCAAAGAAACAAAATCTCAAAAAAAAAAAAAAAAAAAAGTAAACTAGTGTCAGCCTAGGGCTAAGGGGTTTCAAGAAAACAGAGGAGGGGTAACTGCTGAAGTGTACAGAGTTTCTTTTTAGAGTGATAAAAATGTTCTAAGATTGTGATGGCTGCACAACTGTGGATATGCTGAAACCCACTGAACTGTACACTTCAAATGTATGAACTGTATGGTATGTGAATTATATCTTCATTAAGCTGCTAACATCTTCCTCCCTCAAAAAAAACCCCAAAAACAAAAAACAAAAAACTAATGCTATGGCTTTTAACTGCAGCTACAGATACAGTAACAGAGCTTATTCTTTAGAAGTACATATCCCTTGAACCTGCCAGACTACTAAGTCATAAACTATGGGAGTGGGACCCACTCTTCTAGACTAATGGGGGGTAGTACAATAAGACCTAGGTTCAAATCCTGACTCTTAACTTCCTAGCTGCATGACTTTTTTAAAAAAGATTTTATTTATTTGAAAGAGATAAATAGCGAGAGAGAGCAGAGCAGGAGGGAAGGGCAGAGACAGAAGCGGCTCATGTAGGGCTCGATCCTGGGACCCTGCGATCATGACCTGAGCCAAGGGCAGACACTTAAACTACTAAGCCTCCCAGGTGCCCCCTCCCACAGCTACACGACTTTTAGTAAATTATCTAATCTCTCTACATTTTCAGTTCCTACTTCATTATAATGGAGGAAGAAGTGTCTATTTAATTGGGTTTCTGTAAGAACTTAATGAGTTAAAATATGCAAAGTATACCATATGACATACTGTGTTCAAAACCACAGCTATTATTATTACAATTATGTTGTTTTTACTGAACATTCTCTTGTCCTTTACAGGGAAAAGATAATGCAGACTTCTGCAATGTCTGCCCCAAATTCATGCATCTAAGTTTGTTTATTTCACAGAGAGAGAGATCACAAGTAGGCAGGCAGAGAGAAGGGGCGGGGGAAGCAGGCTCATCCCAGGACTGAGACCATGACCTGAGCTGAAGGCAGAGGCTTAACCCACTGAGCCACCCAGGCGCCCCAAACCTTATAAATCTTAACCCTTTTACGAAATATTAACTTTTATCTTTAAAAGCAGTTTATTCTCTATCTGATGCCCTGCTTGGAATAAAATAACATTTATGAAGTTACTATTCTTATAGAAATACAAAAATTGGGGCGCCTGGGTGGCTCAGTGGGTTAAGCCGCTGCCTTCGGCTCAGGTCATGATCTCAGGGTCCTGGGATCGAGTCCCGCATCGGGCTCTCTGCTCAGCGGGGAGCCTGCTTCCCTCTCTCTCTCTCTCTCTGCCTGCCTCTCTGTCTACTTGTGATCTCTCTGTCAAATCAATAAATAAAATATAAAAAAAAAAATACAAAAATTACAAGAACACAAACTTTAATAATGCCACTAATTGTGGGAGGGTACTCCTTAAACAAATTCAAAGGTTATTTTTAAAATTACAAACTTAGGAATAAAGGTCAAAAGATTAGGCAGACACAAACCATTTAATGAAATAAAATGTGCCAATTTTTAAAAATACATTCACTTAAATAAAAATGCTGATCTATATGCTAAGAACAAACTGAAGCAAATTTAAAATCCTGTGATTTCGAGGCACCTGGGTGGCTCAATGGGCTGAGTGACCGCCTTCCTCGCAGGTCATGATCCTAGAGTCCCAGGATTGAGTCCCGCATCAGGCTCCCTGCTCAGTGGGCAGTCTGCTTCTCCCTCTGACCCTCCCTACTCTCATATTCTTTCACTCTCTCAAATAAATAAATAAAAATTTTTAAAAATAATAAAACCCTATAATTTCTTACATAAGAAATGTATGTTCTTAATTCCTAAGTAATTTGGTAACATCTCTATGGAAAGACATTCTTAATAGGACTCTCATGAATTAAAGCCAACATATTCAGATGGAGGATAACACATACACAAAATAATAAGAACAAAAACAGGAAATAACAACATTTGATATTTCTAACTAAAAATTTAGCATTTCTTTTTTCTTTAGTAATTCCATTTCAGAATGAACCACCTATATTGGTGAGATTTTAACTGAATCTGGTATGAAATCAAAAGTCAATCAACAAGCACACTTCTATCTGAAAACATGAAAAGGAGTATTTCCTTTCAGATTCCTTAAGATATTTTCATACCTGATAAGTGAGTCATACTTTCAAAAAGTACAGTTCACTGCTTGGGAAAATCTATCATGGATTAGAAAATGCATTTAATGAAACCAAAATTAAACTGGGATTTTGTGTCTGCTGAGAGTTAAATGTAGAAAAATGCCATACCTAAAATTTAAACCATATCTTTTTCAAAGCTAAATAAATTTTTAAACACACCTACAGAAAAGTATCTCTCTACAAAGCTGCAGTGCCTTGCTTCCTTTGTCACCCACTCACCCAATGCTCAAGCAACAATACTTTTAAATCACCTATTTTATTCAGCATATATCTGCCTTTCATAAGAAAACCTTCCTTAGAAAGTTAAATAATTAACTTTTATGTCAATTTTTTAATGTTATAAAATGAGCCCACAAATACCTTTATCAACTTCTCAGAACTAAGTCAATGCTTACTATACTCCCTAATTAAAAAATTTTTACTGACTTTATTACATATATATTTACTATTTTTCATACTATTACCGTTCTTTTGCCTTTTTTTTTTTTTTTACATGGCTCTGATATGCCAATCTTTTGTAGTAAATTAGGCAGAAGAGTCATGTGAATTTACACAAACATTTTTCAGATAAGGAAGGAAAAGTGAAAACTGGAAAATGTAGCTTAAGTGAATCTACTATACTTTTTAAATATTTTTAAAATAGGTGGTAACAAGTTAAAAATTCAGGAAACATCTTTTTATTACTACAAATTCACCTCTTCTCCAGGGAAAATGAAAGCAGAATAAGTTTATGTGAAACAGGCCCAACTACATCTATATTCTAATTCACTTTTTTAAAATCTATAAAATAAGCTCACACCATACACTAAAATTGCTAAAATTAAATAACTGAAGTAAAACATAAAGAAGAAATTTAGAAACCAGCTGTTTTTAGGCAAGGATCAGATATTTTGATATGGAAAAGCACTTGACATATTATCCGGCCTAACAATTATCTGGCAAAACAAATAACCACAAACAGTAGTAGCCCAAGATCTCTTACCAATTTCAGCAGGTAGTTGTTTGATTTTGTTCTCTCGAATGCTAAGCATGCTGAGTTTTGACAGATTTTTGATGTCCTTTTCCACAGTAGTTATACGATTAAAGCGAAGGTAAAGAGTGGTGAGAGAATCTAGCCTATACACCACTGAAGGAATTTCTCTCAGTTTATTATGCCGTAAATCAAGCATCCGCAGCTTCTTCAAGTTATCAAGAGAGTCAGGCAAACTGGTAAGTGAGTTTTCATTTAGGGCCAGTGTCATGAGATTTACTAGACAGCCCACCTCAGCTGGGAGGGACTGCAATTTGTTGCTATATAAATAAAGTTCCGTTAACTGAGTCAACTCTTTGACTGATGACGGCAACATGTGTATAGACCTCTTGGATAAGTCCAAACGCATTGAGTTCTCCTCCCGGCATTTGTTGAGCTCTTTAATCACCTCTGCATTGCTAGATTTTTTTCTAGTCCCAGGTGCTGGATTTGGCCGTTTGATCGTATTGTCAACTGAAAAAGCCACCCCTGGCTGGGCAGTACTGGAGTCCTTCTTTCCGTCTTTGGCATCTTTCCCTTTGGTCTTAGGTTCTTTTTCTTTGCTCTCTTTCCCAAAACCTCCAGAGGCTTTTGCCTCCTTTTCTCTTTCCTTGGCTGATGGCACTTTGGGATCTTTCTCTTTAGAGTCTTTTTCTTTTCCTAAACTACTACTCATGGTGACTCAAGCTTGGGCAAAAACTACATGAACTCCTTTGTTTTATTTGCCAACAACAGTAACTGGAATTCGAAGATGAAGAGACAAAGATCCTAGACAATCACAAAAGGTGTTGGTGTGAAGAAGTAATCACCGTGGAGGAACAGCCATCTGTTACATGTTGGATCGAAAAGCACTATGCCCATTTCTGGTAACTTGCTCCAACTGGTGAAATGGTGATGGTCAATGGTTCATAAGAATTCCTGAAATACAATACAAAAAAAATTAAATTACTTTTGATTATAATTTATATTAAGTAAATGGGCTCTGAAAAACAATCTTACTGAATATTTGGCCATTTTCCTATGATTTGATGTAGTAAATATTTATTGAACACTTTCTACTATGCAAAATCCATTGAAAAACTATAAAAATAGTTAAGGCAGGCCCCTATCTTCAATGACTTTATAATCTAAGAGGCAGACATAAGGTAAGTATACAAGTTACTGTTAAGTTTGTAAGAACTGAAAAGTGGAAGAAATCATAATAGCAGCTAATGGTTGAATACTTTCTATGTACCAGCACTACTGTAAGAAACTTACAAATATTAACTTAATACATACAGCAGCCCAAAAGATCAACTCTTGTCCCTATTTTTTAAATAGGGACAGCAAGGCACAGAAATACTTTTAAGTAACTAGCCCTGTGATCTTGGAAAAGCAATGAGATTCCAATGTATACACCCACAGCCTGTGTTCCTAAGCACTACACTAAAACTGCTCTATCTGCAACTAATTGCCAGACAGCTTTAGGAATCAGAAAGGACTTGAGAGAGTGTAATGAAAGACTCAAGAGCAGTCTCACAAAAGAACAAAATAGCAAAGTGAAATATGTATGGAGCACAGCAAATAGTTTAGGGAAAAGGACATTAAGAATCTGTACTTTAGGGGCAACTGGGTGGTGCTGTGGTTAAATGCCTGTCTTCGGCTCAGGTCATGATCCCAGGATCCTGGAACCGAGCCCCACATCGGGCTCCCTGATCAGTGGGTAGCCTTCTCCCTGTACCACTCCCCCTGCTTATGTTCCTTTTCTCCCTGTGTATCTCTCTGTTAAATAAATAAATAAAATCTTTAAAAAAAAAAAAAAAAAAGAATCTGTACTTGAATAAGCATTCTAGGTGATTGCAGTGCAAGTAGACCTAGGGAACCACCTTGAGAAACAGTAACAAAGAGCAATCTCCAATGAAGTCTATAAACTAGAAATTGAATGGTGATAAGGGTTCTAAAAAGTAGAAAAAACTGGTAAAATGACTGACCAAAAGGAACTACAAAGGCTGAATAGATGAGTAAAATGTTTGTGAAGGAGTCAGTCCTCCCTAAGCATTTGAAATTTAAAATGCTTTGTATCCTGAGGCTCTGTTATTAATTTTATAAGTAACTGATCTTTATGTGGTAGTAGGGCTTAAAGATTAAAGATAAAATGATTAACATCCTACCTGATCAGCTTAAGAGTTTAAAAAAAAAAAAGCTAAAATTTTATGAAACCACCAAAAGTATTTGACAGTCTAAGTGCACAGGGTCATGCTAAGAATTTCTGTACAGAGGATGTGAGCCTTACCCTATACAAGGTTACAGTTTAATTAGATAGCCAAAACATTCACATATAACTAAACATAAGATAGTATAGTAAATCTTCAGACAATGACATATGCTATTGCTCTTTTGAGAAAACTGTCATCAGTGAAAATGGCTGAGAAAGGTTGTGTACAACCTTTACAAGCAAGTAAAGACAAGGTGGCAAATCAGTCCAGGTAGATACAGTGAAAGGCTAACTTAGGCCAAGAATACCAAATGATCTTAGTTTGCCATAGGAAAATGTAAAGGTGGAACTTTGCTGAAGCAAAATCTCAGGGGTGCAGTAATAATAGGAGGTGGATAGAAGACTAATGATCTGTAAATTCCAGACTAGAGTTTGAACTTACCAGCTTATAAGATTCTACAGTTAAACAAACATGCAATTTTTTGCTAGTGCGTCAGGAAAGTTACTATCTCCCCACTATTCACCGCCCCTTCAAAAAGAGAAAATAATGATTTTTGAGCTACAACGGGGAAAAACTAAGAAACCTTCAGAGGTACTGACTGAGAAAGCGATGCTATTAAGCCAAAATGAAAGCACATTTATTAAAATGATACAACAGTGAATAATGGGAGTATATACACAGATGACAGAATACAGACATCACTTATCAATTCAGATGTAAGAAAGGTCATTTATACCAAGTTTCTGAAAATCAAATTTCTATTTGGCAAGATATGTATGTACCGAATTTCAAGTGAGAAGCAGATGGTATAAAAAAGATGTTACATATTAAAGAACAAATCTAGCATCTCACAAAGTATACTAGCAAAACTTTAATGCTTCTGCTTAATAATCAGATTCAAAAACATTTTTATGAGCAAAAAATAACACTTTTCTAAACACACAATGGCATTTTAAAAGATGGAATCCTTGATCTCCTATTCTGATGTTTCCCAAACTTCAATAAATAAAATAAAATAAACCTGGAATATTGGTTTAAGAAAAATAAACTCCCAGGCTCTATCCTAAACCACTGAACTGGAATCTTCAGGAAGAGGAATCTAGGAAACATCTGTTTTAATAAGAAATGTTTCAGGGCACCTTGGTGGCTCAATGGGTTAAGCCTCTGCCTTCCGCTCAGGTCACATCAGGGTCCTGGGATCCCAGCATCACATCAGGCTCTCTGCTCAGCAGGGAGCCCGATTCCCAGCCCCTATCTCTGCCTGCCTCTCTGCCTACTTGTAATCTCTGTCCATAAAATAAATAAATATTTTTAAAAATGTTTCAGCAAATGCTTATCAAGTTTGGAAACAGAGGATATAACCAAATCTGAACATTGAAGATCTGAACATGAGTATATTTACTACTGTATTTCTTAAATATTATTCTAAAAATGAATATTGAGGGGGTGGCTGGCTGGCTCAGAATGACTGTATGTCATTCTTCATCTCGGGGTATTGAGTTCAAGCCCCACAACAGATGTAGAGATTACTTAAGAAAATAAAATGAAAACCAAAGAACTACATAAATATTTGTATGTTACATACATGATAGATACTACTACAAATGTTAAAAATGGCTCCATAAAAAAATAAAATAAAAATGAAAATTGAGGATTAAGGAGTGGGTCAGGAAAGAAATTGCATTAATGACAAAACAAGTTACTAATAATTTCAAGTTTCCACTGAAGTTTGAAAAAAGACCTCCCATAACATATAAATACCATAATATATCTGAAGTTCATCCTAGAGATACTTGAGCTGTTTGATGGTTTCCCTGCAGTAGTGATGGATTTGAACTGACCCCAGATACTCCTCCTCTAACTCTTGTACCTATTGAGATTTGTTGGTGTACAGTTCAGGCACTGTTCATAAAAGTACAACTAGTTAGAACAGAACTTGGACTTTGACATCACCATACTGAAAAGAATTAACTAACCAAGCTTGACTATTAACTAAAAATTTTTCATATCCAGTAAAAATATATGTTGTCTAAGACAACTAACAAATGACTTGACAGTCCCAAATTAAGTTCTGATCTAATCCAGATCTGAATCAGGTGACACCACTAGATTTTTTTGGAGAAGAAAAAAAGTATTGGCAGTAATCCTTCATGTTTCTTGGAAATAAACTAGCCAATAGATTTCTTAAAAACCGGGGCACTGGGTGGCTCAGTGGGTTAAGCCTCCGCCTCCAGCTCAGGTCATGATCTCAGGGTCCTGGGATTGAGCCCTGCATCCGGCTCTCTGCTCAGCGGGAAGCCTGCCTCCCCCCCCCCCCCCCCCCCCCCCCCCCCCCCCCCCCCCCCCCCCCGCCTCTGCCTACTTGTGATCTCTGTCAAATAAATAAATAAAATCTTAAAAAAAAAAAAAAAAAAAAGATTTCTTAAAAATCCCTTTATAACGTTTTGGGAGATGGCTACATTTGCACAATTTGACTCCTGCACCCACTTATGTAACAGAAAGTGATAGTACCCATTCTAAAAATGCTTAAAATCTAGTGAAAAAGCATAAAATTGCACCAATTACTAAGCTGAGGCTAGCAATGGTGTTTCTATATTGGGGTCTTTATCACTCCAGAAGATTCCTCTATTCCCGACTGCCTAATAACTATCATAAATAGGGCGCTTGACATGACCTTTCAATCTTATTTCAAATTCTCACAACAACATCAAGGAAGATATTAAAAGTGTCTCCACTTGGTTTTTTGAGTCCCTTTTATCACTTATCCAAAAATGAAACCAAATATTACCAATGCTATCTGTTGGCAGAGGTCTTAGTTGATAAAACTTTTCTAAGGTACTTAGTTAAGTTCCAAATTACAAAAATTCTAAACTTCAAGTTCCTAAGTAGAAGAGTTCCTCTATTTCCAATTTATAGATAAGAAAATTGAGGCACTATAGTCAAATACCTGGATGTAAAGAAAAATTCAAAACCAAGTCTAACTGATTCTAAGCCCATGTATGCTCTTTCCACTATACCATGCTGTACTTCAAAGACAGCTATCCAAATCATAATTGTATTAGGATGCTAATTACAGTATTTTAGGCCTCAATACCTTCTAAGACAGGGGTCAGCAAACTTTTCCTGTAAAGGGCCACATATTAAATGCTTTAGGCTTTGTGGGACAGATGTTCTATTACAGGTGCTCTGTTCTAGCACTTTAGCATGAAAACAGCTGCAGACACTTGTCAGTGACTAGATGAGGCTATGTTTCAATAAAAGTTTACCAAAAGAGGCCACAGACTGAATGTGGCCCCCAGGCAACAGTCTGCAAATCACTGTTTCTTATTTCAAATCGTTCCTTTCAGGAACTATATTTTGTATGCAAACTCGATGTTAAGAAGTAAAAAAAAATCTCCTTGTTCTTATAATACACTCAACATTACTTTTAGCTATTTCTAAAATAACTACAACATCAATAAGCCACATATACTAAATATATTCCCTAGTCTTACCTTAAATGTGGGTATGAAAGCTTTACGATATTGGACCTTGAATTACAATGAACATGACTTCTGGCTCCAAAGAAGATGGAATAAGCCCACCTTACCATTTCTCCCATTAATTACAACATAAAACCCTGGACAAAATACATAAAGCAACTAGCAGAAGTGCCTGAAAAGTAGAGAAAAGAAGGTACAGTGGCTAGGGACTCTGGCTGAAGGATATCTACTGGTGAGTTCT